GGACACTACTTCACAACCATTTTCTCCTCAACAGCCTCCACAGTGCGACTTTAAAGTTTCAGCAAATACTTGTGTCAGCACCTCTTACTCCAGCAATAATTAATACACTGTAATTGACAATGAGCTTTCATGTGCTGGCTGTATTTTTGGTGTATTCTTTTATGAGAAGATTTGCATAGCTTATGAAGCCGCTGCTAACTCGAACAACACGGAATCAAATCAGCAAACCCCAAGGAGAGAGGTGAACAGCCTACAGCTGTGCTGGTCTGCACATAATCTGTCTCCTCCAAGGTCACACTGAGTATCACCAATGAATCAATACCAATGGGCAACTCAGAATGGAAATATTAACATATACTATTAAAATTAGAAACCCCTTTGCAGCACAACTTCCACTGTGTTTGTATTTTCTAATTAGTTTTATAGATCACCATGAAATTTGAAAGTCACAAGCACGTACGACATGCAACATCACCAAGGTCCAAGTCAAATTCTCAGTTATTTTAACTTTTGTTGTTTTGTTGGCTTTAACTAAAAAAGCAGCTTAAGGCAGCAAGGTTGAGCTGTTCTTTCTTTGAGGGATTTTTTTTCAAGGACAGTCCCTTCAGCAGCCACAGCAGTGTTATGTTTCTCACACCTACAAGTGACCCATTTTTCGAAGCTTTGAGATGTGTCAGTTTTGACTCCACCAACACATAAAAACTGTTCTTTATAGTCTGCTGTTGAGATCACAGCAGTAGGCTCTCATACATTTTCAAGTTATAAGAGAGCCTACTGCCTACTGCTCATTCTTGGGAACTGAATAGATTAAAACAATCTGTAACTTTGAGATCATGTTTTAAAAGAATGTAACTTGTTAGTGGATAGCCTATATCACGGTCTAAAATATGCATAGAAATTATAATTTCCTGCAATAGTTTTGTGTCATTAATGAAAAGCAAGTCACAATACTCTGCCATTTTGTGAATATGAGGTTATTTTATTTCAATCTAACGAGTCAGTCAATAGTAATCGTTTTTCTTTCTTCTTCTTTTCTTTCTGTCTGCTCCCTTTAGTGGTCATCACAGTGGATCATCTGCCTCCATCTCATCTATCCCTAACTGCTAACAAGGAAAACCTTAGCATCTCCGTCTCCTTCCATCCATCCATCCATCTTCATCCGCTTATCCGAGGTCGGGTCGCGGGGGTAGCAGCCTAAGCAAAGAGGTCCAGACCTCCCTCTCCCCAGCCACCTCCTCCAGCTTGTCCGGGGGAATACCAAGGCGTTCCCAGGCCAGCCGAGAGATATAATCTCTCCAGCGTGTCCTGGGTCTGCCCCGGGGCCTCCTCCCGGTGGGACATGCCTGGAACACCTCGCCCAGGAGGCGCCCAGGGGGCATCCTTGCCAGATGCCCGAACCACCTCAGCTGGCTCCTTTCGATGTGGAGCAGCAGCTGCTCTACTCTAAGCCCCTCCCGGATGGCCGAACTTCTCACCCTATCTCTAAGGGAGAGGCCAGCCACCCTTCGGAGGAAGCTCATTTCCGCCGCTTGTATCCGCGATCTCGTTCTTTCGGTCACTACCCACAGCTCGTGGCCATAGGTGAGGGTAGGGACGTAGATCGACCGGTAAATTGAGAGCTTCGCTTTTACACTCAGCTCCCTCTTCACCACGACTGACCGGTGCAGCGTCCGCATTACTGCAGCCGCAGCCCCAATCCGTCTGTCGATCTCCAGCTCCCTTCTCCCATCACTCGCGAACAAGACCCCGAGATACTTGAACTCCTCCACTTGGGGCAGGAACTCATCCCCGACCCGGAGTGGGCACTCCACCCTTTTCCGGCTGAGAACCATGGCCTCAGATTTGGAGGTGCTGATCCTCATTCCCGCTGCGTTACACTCGGCTGCGAACCGCTCCAGTGCGAGCTGGAGGCCCTCACCCGATGAAGCCAACAGAACCACATCATCCGCAAAAATCAGAGATGAGATTCTGAGGCCACCAAAGCGAAAGCCCTCCGCCACTTGGCTGCGCCTAGAAATCCTGTCCATAAAAATTATGAACAGAACCGGAGACAAAGGGCAGCCTTGGCGGAGCCCATCACCCACCGGGAACGAGTCCGACTTATTGCCGGCAATGCGAACCAAGCTCTTGCAACGGTTGTATAGGGATTGAATGGCCCGTAGCAATGGGCCAGACACCCCATACTCGCGCAACACCTCCCACAGGACGCCCCGAGGGACACGGTCGAATGCCTTCTCCAGGTCCACAAAACACATGTAGACTGGTTGGGCAAACTCCCATGCACCCTCAAGTATCCTCGAGAGGACAAAGAGCTGGTCCAGTGTTCCGCGACCAGGACGAAAACCGCATTGTTCCTCCTGTATCCGAGGTTCGACTAGCGGACGAACCCTCCTCTCCAGCACCCTGGCATAGACTTTCCCGGGGAGGCTGAGGAGTGTGATCCCCCTGTAGTTGGAACACACCCTCCGGTCCCCCTTCTTGAAGATGGGGACCACCACCCCGGTCTGCCAGTCCACAGGTACTGCCCCTGATCTCCACGCAACATTGCAGAGACGTGTCAACCAAGACAGCCCTACAACGTCCAGAGCCTTCAGGAACTCGGGGCGGACCTCATCGACACCAGGGGCTCTGCCACCAAGGAGTTGTTTAACTGCCTCAGTGACCTCGCCCCCGGAAATCGGTGGGTCACACCCCTCATCCCCAGACTCTGCTTCCTCCCCGGAAGACGTGTCAGTGGGATTAAGGAGGTCCTCGAAGTATTCCTTCCACCGCCCGACAATTTTCTCAGTCGACGTCAACAGCGCTCCGCCAGCACTATACACAGTGCAGGTAGAGCACCGCTTTCCCCTCCTGAGACGCCTGACGGTTTGCCAGAATCTCTTCGAGGCAGTCCGAAAGTCTTTTTCCATGGCCTCTCCGAACTCCTCCCACACCCGAGTTTTTGCTTCAGCCACTGCCCGAGCCGCATTCCGCTTGGCCTGTCGATACCTGTCGGCTGCCTCCGGAGTCCCACAGGCTAACCAAGCCCGATAGGCCTCCTTCTTCAGCCTGGTGGCTCCCTTCACCTCTGGTGTCCACCATTTGGTTCGGGGATTACCACCACGGCAGGCACCAACCACCTTGCGGCCGCAGCTCAATGCAGCAGCTTCGGCAATGGAGACGCTGAACATGGTCCATTCGGACTCAATGTCCCCAGTCTCCCTCGGAATGCTGTTGAAGCTCTGCCGGAGGTGTGCGTTGAAGATCTCGCGGACTGGGGCCTCTGCTAGACGTTCCCAGCACACCCTCACTCACCCGCAGGAGGCGCCATAGGGGTCGGGTGCATTGTGAGTCGGGTGGCGGCCAGGAGCGGAGGCCCTGGCGGACCGACCCCCGGCTGCCAAGACTGGCAATAGGGACATGGAATGTCACCTCTCTGGTGGGGAAGGAGCCTGAGTTGGTGCGTGAGGTTGAGAGGTACCGGCTAGATATAGTTGGGCTCACCTCTACGCATTGTCTGGGCTCTGGAACCAGTCTCCTGGAGAGGGGCTGGACTCTGTCTCAGTCTGGAGTTGCCCCTGGTGAGAGGCGGCGGGCTGGGGTGGGTATTCTTATATCCCCTCGGCTTGCTGCCGGTACGTTGGGGTTTTTCCCGGTGGACGAGAGGGTTTGTTCCCTGCGCCTTAGGGTCGGGGAACGGGTCCTGACTGTCATCTGCGCTTATGCGCCGAGTGGCAGTTCGGAGTACCCAGCCTTCTTAGAGTCCCTGGGGGGGGTGCTGGAAGGTGCTCCACCTGGAGACTCTGTTGTCCTGCTGGGAGACTTCAATGCTCACGTGGGTAACGACAGCGAGACCTGGAGGGGCGTGATTGGGAGGAACGGCCTCCCTGATCTGAACCCGAGCGGTGCTTTGTTATTGGACTTCTGTGCTAATCACAGTTTGGCCATAACGAACACCCTGTTCGAACATAAGAGTGTCCATAAGTGCACGTGGCACCAGGATGCTCTAGGCCGTAGGTCGATGATCGATTTTGTAATCGTATCACCAGACCTGCGACCATATGTTCTGGACACTCGGGTAAAGAGAGGGGCTGAGCTGTCAACTGATCACCACCTGGTGGTGAGTTGGATCAGGTGGCGGGGGAGGACGCTGGACAGACCTGGTGCACATCTCCGTCTCCTTTCTTCAAATTATATATCATAGCAGGCCTCACTACCATCTTGTAAACCTTCCCTCTGACTCTTGCTGTTATTCTTCTGACACAAATCACCCCAAGCAATGGTCTCGGTCAGCTCTACCCTGCCTAGATTCTCTTCTTCACTGCTCTTGTGCACTGTATGTTGCTTTGGATGGTTGAACCCAGGCATCTGAAATTGTTCACCCTCACTAGTCCCTGCAACATCACTATTACGCGATCTCCTCTTATTCACACACAAGTATTCTGACTTGATTCTACTGACTTTCATTAATCTTCTCTTCAAAGGATACCTCCACTTCTCCAAGTAATCTTCCAGACGTTTCCTACTCTCATTACTGATCACAGTGTCATCAGCAAACATCATAGTCCACAGAGACTCCTGCCTGTCCTCATCTGTCGACCTGTAAATACCATGGCAAACAAGAACAGGCTCTGTTGTCCCACCCCTCACCCTGAACTCAACTCTAACTCCTACCACATACCTTACAACTATTTCACTATTCTCATACATGACTTTATTCTCTGTCACTTCTGACTTCGTTTTTATTACTATTAGTAGTAGTAGTAGTAATAATAATAATAATAATAATAATAATAATAATAAAAACTAAAATTAAAAATGTAAATAAATTAAACAAGTAACAACGCTGCATCGGTCATTGAAGTTTGCTTTTAGGCCCTGGGATGCTGTATATTCTATCTAATAGCAACACCTGGTGGGTGAAAATTAAATAGCACACTCAGAGGCGTGAGCTCGGCCAATACATCGTATTTAATATTCTGCACGTCCTTACTACGGCGGCGTGCCATACATTACACGCTTTAAGTATCACCTGATCGATGCTTAAATTAGCACTTGAAATACTTTAGTGCTTTGTCACGCTGAAACGCAGTTTATTTTGATGTGTGAGGACTGCAGCTTTACAGGAACCCATTTTCTTATTCTAAGCTCTACACGGAACTGAAAAAGGTTACACCAGTAATGCTAACCAGCTGTGCAGCTAGTGTCACCGGTGTTGTCGCTGACAGCCTGTCACTCACCTTGCTGCTGTAACTATAATCTTGTTAGTAGATACAGAGTTGAATGACAGTGGCTGTGTTGCCTGTGCGTTAGTGTTTTACTAAAATTTCGTGGAGCTGAGACGCTGAAAATGAGAGAAGGGTAAGTAGATGGCTCCGTAGCTAACATTGACGAGTTAGCTAGGTGGCTAACTTAAAAAGCTACATATAAGACTGCTAACAGCACTAGCAAGGTAAGGACAGCTTAGTAGTTAGCATTTCAGTTACTCATCTAACTCGGCTGCAGTGAGTGGTCATTTAATGGGGTTAAACTCGTTTGTATAGCCAGCAAATTCAAAGCATGGTGTGTCAGTCGTGACTGATTTGACAGCTTCTTTTGACAGGCCAAAAAATTACTGAGTGATGACTGGCTGCTCTTAACGATCGACGATCAGTTAAATTAGATACCAACTGCCAAAGCCCTGCTAACACCAGTCGTATGAGCTTTTCACCAGGCTGACAGCAGCTGTCAACGCTTTTCCTTGTGGGTGGGGTCGAGATATTTTTTTCCCTTCGTAAGATTTCCATCTTCATCTTTTCAGCATACATTACCTTAATTTCCCGTACTAACCTCAGCAGTGCACACATCTTACCGCCACCTGATAAGCCAGTATATTCACCAGGGTTTGGTTCCCATCACCTTTCGGTTGGCTGAGCACACCTGATTCCTCCTATAGGTTGCTGATATAGCAGGAGGCGGAAAACAGACCCACTGCAGTCAAACACATTATCCAGTGATGTTTTACTATTACTGTTATTATAAAAACGATACAGTCCTGGTTTAAGTATATGAATGTTTTTAGACAGAATACATAGGGGTCCTTCCATGTCAACTAACCAAATGGCACGAGCTTTGACTTATGATAGTGAAATAAAATTGTGATAAAATGTATTTTCATCATGTTTTGTGCTTCATTATTTCTAAAGCTCAAGACTGTAGTTCATACATATTTTAGCCTTGTGCATGAGACACACAATGTTGATTAAAATATCGGAATATATGGTTGCTGTTGTAGGGACACGTGTCCTTTTTTATTTGTAACCCTTCTTTTAATGCTTAATTTAATTGATTGTCTGATTTCAAAATTTTTTTTGTACAGAATAGGTTTTTGAACAAAGCTTCATGAATGCCTGCAATAATTTAATGAACACTAACTGGTGTTTAATTCTTTTATTAGGTGGGATAACATAGTCTTCATTACTTCCCAGTATTGGTACATGAGCAGTATGTTCAGTTTTGCATCAGTATTTTTTTATGAAGTAGGCTGATAACTGTTATGGATATTGTGCATGATTATATACTGATACAAGAACTTCTGTATTTGATGCAATTACCTGCCAAATCATCTTTGGTTCCCTGTGTTTTTTGGTTGTTTCATTAATGTTTTTGTTTGGTTTTTATTGGTTTGTTGCAGAGTGTGTGGCCTGTGATTCAGCTCTTGTGTAGCCATGGAGAAGCCGTGGAGGTTGTGGGGGGCAATGGAGCGTTGCACCCTCACTCTGGTGTCCTGGTCCTGGGGTGCCTGTCGTGTCTCCCTTTTGGCCCTTATCCTCACCTTCCATCTATATGGAGGATTTTTTCTCCTCGCTCTCATCTTAGCATCTGTGGCAGGCATCCTCTACAAATTTCAGGATGTTCTCCTCTATTTTCCTGACCAGCCTTCCTCCTCTCGCCTTTATGTTCCCATGCCAACAGGAATCCCACATGAGAATGTGTATATTCGTACTAAGGACGGTGTCAAGCTCAACCTCATCCTGCTTCGTTACACAGGAGGGGACACATCTCCTGGAGTCACTGCTGGAAATCAAAGCTGCCCCACTTCTTCTGCTCCCCCTACGATCCTTTATTTCCATGGTAATGCAGGTAATATTGGTCACAGGGTGCCAAACGCCCTGTTAATGTTGGTCAATCTGAAAGCTAACGTGGTGCTGGTGGACTACCGTGGTTATGGAAAAAGTGAGGGTGAGCCCAGCGAGGATGGGCTCTACCTTGATGCCGAGGCCACGTTGGACTATGTCATGACCCGCCCTGATCTAGACAAAACAAAGGTGGTACTCTTTGGTCGCTCACTAGGAGGTGCCGTGGCTGTTCGATTGGCATCAGTCAACCCTCATAGAGTAGCAGCCATTATTGTTGAAAACACCTTCCTCAGCATCCCCCATATGGCAGCAACGCTCTTCTCCTTCTTGCCCATGCGCCTGCTCCCCTTGTGGTGCTATAGGAATAAGTTCCTGTCCTATAGACAGGTGGCGCTGTGCCGCATGCCTTCGCTGTTTGTGTCTGGTCTGTCTGATCAGCTCATCCCACCAGTTATGATGAAACAACTGTACGAGCTGTCTCCTGCACGGACTAAGCGCCTGGCTATCTTTCCAGAGGGCACGCACAACGACACGTGGCAGTGTCAGGGCTATTTTGCTGCTTTGGAGCAGTTCATTAAAGACCTGCTGAAGAGCCATGCCCACGAGGAGAGCGCTCAGCCTTCAGCTAGCGTCACCATTATCTAAAAAAGAAAAAAAAAAGTCAGGGACTGACTGTTCATGGGCTTGAGTGGACTGATTGGGAAAGCTTCACTGATTATTTGGAAGAATGTACATTTTTTTAATCCTTTTGTGTGGGGTTTTATTTTATTTCACTCTTTTTACCTTTCTGTAAATTTAACATGTCAAAATATTTTCACTGTTTCAAGGTTCTAAGAGAGGGTAAGAATGTCCTCCTGAGTTTGTTTGCAGATATGTATGCATGTATTTTTGACATTTTTTAACGAATGAAGCCAGATCATACATGTCACAACACAGAAGACTTTGCTCTAGTAAGTCTGCTCGAATGAATTAAAGTCAGTGAAACAGCTTCTCTTGTTACTGCGTCCATATAGGGGCCTATGGTGTTTCAGTGAAAACTGATTGTTACTGCAGTTAAAATTTCAGTTCATCTGATAAACTGAGCTAGGCCTGATAATGCAGTCTAGGCCTTCAGTGTAAATATATTTAATTTTCTAAATTGCACTTTTCTTTTTAAACTTACCCAAGTGTTTAATTATATGAGCTAACATCTTCTGAGCAATACTTTGAGCAGTGTACTTTTTTCCTCTCCCTCTTTAAGCGTTAATCTGATGTATGTGCAACAGATTGGCATAGAAGGATATTGTTGTGATTACTGTCTATACACATACACCCTTTGAACTTTACTTTTAAAAGTAGCAGAAAGCTTCCTGTTGAATAATTATATTCAGCCACAAGTGTTTGCTGAGATGAAGTGGTCAGGAAGATGAAATGACATGTTTGATACTTCTGCCTGTCAAAAATAACTTATGGACCTCTTATTTCCTGTCTAGCTGCTTCTGTTTCATTGTGATTAAGATAATCTACACGCTGTTCTCCCTGGTTAAAATGCAATGCGCACACAAGAAAAGGTCTTTGTTTTTTAATTGGGCTTTAGGGGTTATTATGCAACATTGGCTTCTATAGTTTATGGTAAGAACCTTTTACAGCAAGTTACATTAGTGTGTTATATATCTGCACCGAAGGAGTCATCGGTTGGTGTAATGGTCTTGCCCCTGCTGACCGCTGGAACACAATAGGGAAAAATTACATAGTTCTCATTTTGTGCAAAAAAGTATTCAGAAGATTTGCAGATATGAGTCCTCAGTAGTCTAAGCAAGAGAAATTTAGTGTGTAATTTCCCAAAGTTAATACTGCAAATCAACAAGAAACTGCAGTCCAGCAAATTCTAATAGGGGGATTTTGAGGGCAGAAATTAACTTTTGAAGATTAATGAAATTCTAAGAATTATTTTTTAACAAAGACTGAGGAATGTGAACTTGCCCTATACCTCTCACCCTTTAGTCACACCATGTGAGATTTCTGGGAGGCATTACAGACATGACGAATGATTACCAAGAAAGATAGTTCCTAAAAATTTACTGTACAGCATTTGGCCATTTGAATACTGAATTGAAATCATTTTAGGGAGCAAAAAACAAACCAAAACACAGAAACTGTTTTTTAAAGAAGAGGTGTATTTAGGAATGAGGTGTAAGCTTTTTTCTTAGCTTTTATCATCAGCATTGTAATTGTTAATTGGAAGATTCTGTCACCCCATGCTTATTTGCAAAACGGCTTTACTCACTTGGAGGGCTTTTAATGAGCTAATTAACCTTTCCTGCATGTCTTCCATGGGATGGAGCGGAGCTCGACAATTAAAACGCTATTATCAGCTCTTGCTTTCTAAATGCAGCACGCGGCAGTGCAGTGGTATCAAAGCCATTTGAACAAGCTCAACAGATCTCCTTAGCCATATTTAATACTGTTTGAGACGTATGCTAAACAAAATCTGACAATGCCAGAAGACCAAATTTGTGCATCACTGTAACTTGACAAATGATCGAAATCCTACTATGAATGTAAATGGTGGTCTTAAGTGAACATGCTTTATAGAAATCGTATATTGCTGGTCTTTTCTTCCTTTTTCTTTGACTTATTTTACTGGCGGCACTGAACATTTTGGGACATTTTTGTATTATATCAAATCCATATGCTGAGTTAATGCACATTGTGCATACAACCATGTGAGTATACACTCTTTTGGCTCCACTAGCTTTGTTTTACACTTCTGCTGTGACTTAGAATTGCACCATCTCATCATTCGAGAGAAGATTGCGGAACTTGTTGTCATTCACTTGATTTACCATTTTGTAGCCTGGTAGGAAGCAAATTTAATAATAAATGGGATATTGAGTCTTCATCCTAGCCAAATGTGCTTTTACAGTCTAACACCCTGTGGATGAAAACAAATAAAATTGAATGTCTTTTAAGTTTTTATAGAAAATCATTGGCCGATCGGATGCGACAGTGCACTGTGGGACTTTTTTTTTTTTCTTTATGTGAATCTATTCGGAAGAAATGCTGGCGAAAATGTTGCCATAACTCAGAATTGGTATGTTGCATTTTAAAGCTGGCATGTAATAACATCGAGTCTTGGCAAATTTGTGTGGAAATGAACATGCACAGTCTCGACATACTTTGTGTATATCTGCCACAACCGCTCCGCTTCTGTATGCTCTGAAGAAAAACTGATGATTTATTACTACAGACAAACATCTGAATGAGTCATCTTTTGACTTCTGAGTACAGGGCGGTCAGTTTGAGCAATTTTTTCCATTTTCCAGTTGTTTCTTTACGATTTTTAAACAATGTCGACAACTTCTTTTGTAAGCACACATTTTCACTTTCTATTTTCTGTACTGTAACATGCAATAAATTGATACATTAAAATCTTTTTTGTGGTTTGAGTTGGAGTTTGTGTGTGTCTGCGTGTGTGTGTGTGCTTTGTTATTCAGGGTGCTAAAACAAGTAACTTCACACTTCTGAGAATAACAGTTTTGTATGTTTTGCCATCTTGTGTTGCTGTTCACAGATGAATTTATTCACTTCCTTATTTTAGTGTGCATCTAATTCTGAAATAACGGTGGCATTATACGGTATTATTTTCACTTCTCAGTCTTAAATCACTTTACCTGTTTCGCACCTTGGCTGTTTTCCATTTTGCTGCCAGGTTCCACTCTTGTGCCCACTCGCGTGTCAATTTTTATTGTGTGGAAGAAGACGTGTGTTTTGTGATGTGAAAACCGAGGAGTGAGAGAGAGATTTGTCAAGGCTTCTGGTCAGGCAGGAAGCTGAGTGTGGTTAGCTTAGCGGAACAATAGAGGGGAAGCTCTTTACCATTTTTTTTGTAAAGTATTTATCCTGCGTAGTCCCTCAGACTGCACTGGATCTGGCTTCTTAAGGACAAAAGTGAGAGTTAAGGAAATCAATCTTGCTTGCAGACGGGAGTTACGGTACTACTGGAGATACTAGAGAACATTTGATAACAAAAGCAAACATCCGCCATTCCAAATACAGTAAGAAGAGAGGGAGAGGATAGTTCAGGCGTGAAACTGGTCATGTGGCAAGTGTGAGCTCGCTCTGGAGATTGTATGGGTCCTGCAATGGCAGTTTTGGCAGGTCTTAAGCCTGGCTCTGGACAAGGGGATAGTGAAAGAATGCTGTCCTGGCCAGTTTTCCTGTTGATGCTGGCCGCTCTCAGCTCATCTTTTCTTTCAGCTTTGTCTCTGTACCAGCTGGTAGCCCTCAGAGCTGAAATAGAGCAACTTCAATCAGATGTCTCTTGTGGGAGAGAAGAGGGACAACCCAGCGCAGACAGATTGCAGGTGAGAGAACACTAGTCCACCCCCCACATGGGAACGACAGCAAGCACCCCACCTGCACAAGGTTACGAAGATGTGCAAAATATTGTATTTTAATTGCAGTTACTGTTTTTCTAAGAGCTATATCATGTCTGTGCAGGTGGAGATTCCAAACAACATCAAAGATGTTGCTCGTCAGCCCGAGTGTCCACCTGCCTTCATCCAAAGACGACGAAGGAGAACGGTGTCTGGAGCAGAAGTGTTAAGTAAGACATAGAGGGTGCACTTGAGACTTACAGTTATTGTTCACGCATGAGATATTTGCAAAAATGTACGTTTTGTTTTTTCAACTCTGTTGCCTGATTAGAAAAAAGAAAAATAACACACACTTTTATTACTGGTACTATGCGTAGTGTATAATTTTCTGTACCATTGTTAACCCGTGTTTAATTGTGCATAGAGGTTTCTTTCTTTCTTTCTTTTTTGGTGGGCAGGGGGGTGGAGGGTGTTAAATCCCGCCACACTAAGTTCCCCAGACACACTGTTTACTTTAACATACCAATGACCACGTTTTCTTAACAATCCCAAAAAATCCCATGTGGTCAGATATTGCTGTTAGTTGATTAATGTGCATAGTATAAGGCCAAATTTATTGAGCTGTTGGGCACCGATGATGCACTTTTGCCCAAAAATGGGAGAGAAAAAAATGATGGATAAGAACGAACAAGAGTAACGGTTAAGGAACAAGCTTTGTTGAGACAGAAAAGAAACAACTTTTAAAAATAGTTTCCTCTTGTGTTTGCTCGCAGTTTCTCAGTCTTTCCTGCAGATGCTGGCAAACGACAGCAGAAAAAACTACGTGAAAGGTACAAGATGTTAGACCATAACTGTGACATTTTGTTTTGATTTGTCTGTTTATTTAACTTACCTCTGGTTTGTATTTACCTCTTGTTTCATATTGAGATCTTTTGGTCTTTGCAAACTAATCAGAGCCATTGTTACAAAGTCAGAATTTAGACTTAAGCTGTATGAGGTCTACAGTAACTAAGTGACTCACAAATATGGTGACTGTTACAAAAGATGTATCTTTATGTGCTGTGGGGCATTTTCCATAATGATGTTATGTTTTGGTTTAGAAATTTTAAGAGATACGTACACAGGCATCCCTTGGCAGCCTGGGTTAAAGAGAGGCACTGCCCTGGAGGCCGAAGGTGACCGCATTTTAGTCCGAGAGGAGGGCTTCTATTATGTGTACAGTCAGGTATGTCCTTTTTTGAAATTGTCATTCCATGATTTTGCCACAGGGGGGTGCTGCCAGTCCGTTTCCAAATCATCAGATATTATTTTCCCCCTTACAAACGGTGCAGAAAAAAGGGTGTGCTCAATCTAAACATGCAGCTGGTTGAGAGACCTTGAACAAAGGTCAGATAAAGAAGAGAATATATAAATTATGCGTGCATAATAAATTAGGCGGTGCTGTAGCACCAATGCCCCCACCACACCCCGTGGTTTTAACCTGGTGGTTCTGATGTGCACAGGTCTTCTACAGGGACAACACCTTTGCAATGGGTCACGTGGTGTTCCGGTGGAAGGCAAATGTTGTTGGAAACGAGCCTCAGTATGTGTCCCTGTTCCGCTGCATCCAAAACATGAACCCTGTCCAATCGTTCAACACCTGCTACACAGGAGGTGAATCTGTGTTATTGTATTTGCCCAGATATGTTCTTCCTTTAAACAACAGTTCTTGTGGAGGTTAATCAACCCACTTCCTCTTTTGTCAAGCTGTCAAGCATTTGTTTGTGTGTTTGTGTATGCATGTTGGTGCTTCAGTTTAAGGAGTGCGTAATAATGGAAAATACCAATTCAAGGTCTGATGCAGACATTTACATCCCTCAGGTATTGTGAAACTGGAGGCTGGGGACTACTTGGAGCTTCTGATCCCCCGGGCCACAGCAGACGTGTCCCTGAGTGGAGATTCCACCTTTCTGGGTGCTCTCAAACTGGCTTAAACTGTGCCACCTCACATCGGACCAAAGGGGAGACGTTAAAGCCATGAAGTGCCAGAGATGGGGGAATGGCAGCAACATGCTACATTTCTTGGTGATCTTGACTGACTTGGTGTTGTGACAAAAACACAGGAAGCAGCCATTTCACCACTGGCTGAATGATGTACTGTGCAACTTCTAGCTTGTTAAGCCTGAGCAGACACAAGAGAGACAGAGGGTTAAGGGTTAAGGTCTGTCCTTTTTATTATGTTCATGCATTATATTCATTTGTGCCATACATATATACATTGTAAGAAACTGTTAGAATCAAGTAAGCTTTCTTCAGATAGTCGCACACGTGGCAAGGACCAAATATTAATCACATAATCTTTCATTTAGCAGCAGCCACATTACTGCATAACTCAGATGGTTCTTCTTATATGCTTTATTAGTCCAGATATAAAGACATAAGCCAGCATGACTCACTTGATATGAATATTCAGATGCAATAAAGTGACAATTCTTTCACAAGACATTCTGAGTGGAGGCTGATGTTCCATCAATAACCACAAGAAGGAAAGAGTTGTGTATGTGTGTGTGTGTGTGTGTGTGTGTGTGTGTGTGTGTGTGTGTGTGTGTGTGTGTGTGTGTGTGTGTGTGTGTCAGAACAAAAGCAAAGAGAGAAATAAGGTTGATCAGGAGCAGCAATACCCTATTTTTAGCCTGAGGCAAAACTCTAGGCAGATGATGTCTTCATTTTCAAAGGAAGTGATCAATGAATTTGCCATGCACGAATGCATGAAAGCCCAGGAGAAAATAGTAACACTTTTTCAGTGTATTCTTCAGTCTAGATTTTGTATAAGCTAGAGATGGAGTGAACGTTATACCCGAGAGTGTGTTCTTATATATTCTGGACAATATTAATACATTCGCAGTTTTAATTACAGTACATTATGTGAATTTTTTATGCCATAAATCATGCAGTATTATCAGTACTTTACACACTGTATAGGATCAGAGGGATTGTTTAGTTTTAATCTTTACTGACTGTCAGTGGTTTTGTATTATAATTGTCATATCAAAGGTAAAAAATAAACAATTAGTCACAAAAAAGGTTTTCTCTTACATGAGTTTTTCGTGCAATATAACATATCAGGAAAACACAGATTTGTACACGGGAAAGGAAAATGTTAAGCAAAACGCCACACAACTTAACATGATTTTGCCATGACATGATATGATATAAAATTATAACATATAGCTCAAGTATTTCCCACAATTTCCTTGTATTCAAAACACAATTCATTAACAGGAAAATCTGGAAACCCATATGAAAACAGTGACAGTCAAAAAAATGTTTTTGTTCCACAACTATTTAATGGTAAGCCCAGTTTAAGTAAACTATTTAAACTGTTGATTTTAGACAAGACACACACCACTGTTTACATTGGTTGCTGAGCGGAGCAGGCAAACAGTTCAGCTTCCTGGGTTTCAGGATGTATGGTTACCAGGGTTCCCTGGTAACCATACATCTCTCCCTGCGGTGAATAAATCTGAGAAATGACTCAGATTAATGTAACCAGCTAACTTGGAACGTTATAATTCTGGTGATAATAAATTTACTAAGGGAGGTGAAAGGCCTGAGTCTGGAAGTGTGGTCAGAGGGTGATTAAAACCGCCAAGGACATCATTTGCACCGGTCTGCAGAGCATCAGCAATACTGAACCCAACCACAGCTTTTTCACCTGCTGCCACCTGGGAAGCACCGTAGATGTAGCCACTGCAGGACATTTTATTTTCTCATCTTCATACTTCTCTTTAATACTTTGCTATTTATTAAATACAGTTAATATTTTTAATGACTAAATTATTATTCATGTTTATTTTATGTGTTTTGCCAATACCATAAATGGTAAATGGACAGGTATTCATATAGTGCTTTTTACGACAAGCCTCATTCAGTCATACATACGTAAGCACCTTGTCCAGCATTACACAAATACTCACACAGATGCATTTGAATGTGAATGTGTGAATGCTAATGTGTTGACATGCAGACTAGAGTAGCCAGGGACTGAACAATCGACCCGACCCGCTCTACCTCCTCA